CCATTCACTTCAATGCCATTTAATTCATTTCAACTGCGCTGTACTTTTTTATTTATTTATTTTTCGACTCAGAATTTGTCTTCCACAAAAAATCAAAAGATAAAAATAGGAAGAAATGACTAAATAATTTGATGTAAAGAATTTATTGCAAGCAACTACTACTCTAGGATGTGTTGGTTGGACTGACATGACTTTGAAAATTAAATTAAAAAAGAAAAAATGTTGCTAGTGTACAATAATTTTAAACTATGAAGTATTGGGATTTGGGAGATGATACAGTCCCGTTACGAAATCATTTCGTCGGGATTTGTAATCGTTAGATCAACTATCTCAGACGATTACATGATAATTTAACGGTTACAAACTCTGACGGAGTGGTTTCATAACGGAAACTTAGCATTTTTCTGGGGATTTGTCTTGAGGAAAAAAAAAGTGCAATATATTTAAGATATAAATGGGATTTTTTTTTTTTTTTGCTACTTATGAAAATTAAATTATTATTCTTTTTCTATTTTAGTTAATTGTCCTTTTACCCTCTCACAATGCATTAATTTCCTTCTCATGTTGAATGCAAAATACACAAAATATAAAACAATGGGAGATGCTACGGTCCCGTTACGGAACCATTCCGTCGGAATTTGTAACCATTAGATCAACTATCTTTGACTGTTACATGATGATCTAATGGTTACAAACCCGACGGAATGGTTCCGTAACGGGATCGTAGCATTTCCCTAAAACAATTTCATATATTAAAAGCTTCTACCAACTCTTACACACACACGCACATAACAAATAAAACCAGACACCTAAATCCATACCCATAGCCATAGGGCCTTCAACAATCACCCTCATAAAAAAGTACCAACATTTCTCTCTCTTAAAAAAAAAAACTAAAATAATAATAACAAAAATAAAAGGCATTTATAATAATATTCAATTAATTCAAATCCCCTTCATGTGTCCTCATTCAAAACCCTTGCCCGGGGCAAAATTATTGCCTTAAGCGGGTCCTTCATGACCACCGTAAATGCAAAGGTCTCGGTCGGGTCGGGTGGGTTGTCGGGTATTGGGACCCACTTGAACGCCTGGACCATCCGCCCGAGCAGTAGGCTCGAGTGGAGGACTCCGAGACTCCACGCGGGGCAAATCCTCCGACCCGCCCCGAACGGCAACATCTTTACCCCTTTGGTGCCCGTGATATCGACATCCACTCCATCCCCCGCTAGGAACCTTTCTGGCCAGAAATCGTTAGGGTTTTGCCACATGTCCGGGTCCTCCGTCAGGTGCGCTGTGTAGAACTCGACGTACGCGTCGGCTGGGATTGTGTACCCTCCTAGCTCGATTTCTTTCGTGGCTACACGTTTTATACTGACAAATTAGTTTTTGAGTCGTAAAAAAATCGAGAAATTTGGTAGTATCGAGGCGAAAAAGTGCAGTGTGTTGTTTAACACACGACACTTATTTGAAAAACGAATTCAAAGAACACGAGAAATGGAACTCCTAGACATGCATGCATGAGGCCAAAAAGGGCTAAACAGAAAATTCTAACCAAGTTGATCACGAACACGTTCGACTCGACTAAAAGCTCGATCAATTTGTGTGGGTCCGAATTGTTTAAATATTCAAGCGAGTCGGGATTGGGCTTTCAGAAGTCGAACTGAACTATATTAGCACGGAGCTGCGCATTTGCAGTCCCGGGTGAAAAAAAAAAAAATCTGACTATGCAACAATAACAACAACAACCAACCAGAATGCGAGAGCAGAAAATGGCTAGGTGGGTGCCGCCTGAACGTCTCCTTGATAATGGCCCCGAGATACGGCATATTCTCCACGTCACTCTCGGTTAGAGTCCCATTGGGCCCCACCTGGCCCACGATCTCCTTATATAACCTCTCCTGGATCTCCTGGTCCTGGACCAGGTGGAGCAGGGCCCACTCGAGGGTGGTGGCGCTGGTGTCCGTGCCGGCATTGATGGCCTCCGAACACAGCGTCACTATCTCCTCCTCCGTCAGCGCAGCCCGGCCCGGAGGCTCAAGCCCAAAGAGCGAGTCCACATAGGCTGCACCTAATGGGCTCGCCATCTCGGCTGCCGTGGGCCCGTCCGGGTTCTCGACAAAGGCCTTCCTGTTCCTAATTAATGGGATCAGGCAGTCCAGCTGCTTTTTCCTAAGCTCCTTTGCTTTCTTCACCTGTTGTTGGAAAAGATACATTCAAGTTATTAGGGCAAACAAATTAAAAAACAAAAAAAAAAAATGACACCTAATGTGAAGCTAGAGTGAGTAATTATAGGGCTAAATAGTCATAACTTTTGTTGTATTTCTATATATATTTTGAAGGCATGGAAAATTAAGGATATTAATTAGCTTTCTTACAACACAATTTGTCTATAAACTACCTTATTATAGAAAAACGTACACAAATCATTGTATGAGATAGTCGTTTGTCACACACAAAAATATATAATTATGCTATGAAATTGAAATGTTATACTTTTTTAGACAACAATGTTACGGTTTGAAAGTATGCGTAACTGTTAAAATAAATGGATAAATAAAATATGGTTGTCTAACCGTTAGGCTTGACTAGTACCTGGCGGCGGAAAAGCGGCGTGAGCACCGGGAGGAAATCCGGCAGCTGCGGTGCCGTCATCAGCATGACGTCCTTTAGCACGGCCTCGATGACCTTAATCCTCTCCTCCGAAACCTTCACCCCGAAGCACAAGCAAATGAGGATGCTGCATATGGTGAGCCTGCAGTGGGCCATAACCTCCACGTACCCGGCCCGCCTGGCCTCGTCTTCAAGCCTCTTCATGTGGTTCTCCACGGCCCAATTCCTGATCCACCCGCACTGCCGGATCCGGGCCGGGTTGATCAGCTCCGTCACGAAGTTGCGGCGCAGGGCGCGCCAGAGGGGCCCATATTCGGCCGAGTTGATGGCGCACTTGCCCACGCTGAATATGAGTCTGATGGGGGAGTCAGCGGGCCGGCTCGCAAGGATTGGGCCCTTTTGCACGAGGGCCTCGTGGATCAGGCCCGAGCTTGTCACAATCACTAGGGTTCGCTGGCCCATTTTCATTGTGAAGATGGGCCCGTATCTTTTGCGGAGATCGCGGACGACGAAGATGAAGGGCCGCCGCTGGAGGATAACTTGGAAGAGGTTGCCGACGAGGGGCCAGCCCGGTGGGCCCGGCGGGAGATTTTTTGGGCCGCCGCCTTTGGTCGATGACAAGTGGCGCCACCAGAGGCGAAGGAAGACTGCCGCCGCCAAGAGTAGTAAAATGTCAATCAAATCCATTTTATTTTATTTTATTTTTTTTTTTTGGTTCTTTTGGGGTGGTGAAATATTGGAGCGAGTTGGAAAGTGAGTCGATGTTGAGAGAGTTAAATAGGGAAAAGATGGAGTGTTGGAGGTTGGTGAGTTGAGAGGACTCGGGAGTACTTTTAGCTACTAACTAGCCCTTATTCAATATTATTATCTTGCATGTACCAAACCGTGAAATTTAATCGATTAGATAATTATATATTTTTTAAATAAATATATGTAGGGATGATAGTGACGGATCTAGAAATTTTACTCAGGGGACCCGATTTTAAATGTTAAATAACGAGCTTGTAGTTTAAGTCGAAACACTCAGTTCATATAAAAATATGTTTACTTTAAATATAAATATTGATACGTGTACCATCAAGTTTTTTAAAACTTAGAATCCGTATCACCTTCAAAATTTATAAAAAAAATAATAATAAAAAAAAGATTTCATGAATTTATAATTTAAGATCTATAATTTATGGAAGAATAAGTTTTGGTTCAAAATTTGATTTTAGTTGAACTTTTACACAACATTTCATAACATTTTTGTTGATGAAAGCCTATCAAATGGACTTTTAAAATAAATAAATAAATAAAGTTAGAAATATGTGATTACACACACAAAAAAAAGAGTAAAAAAACAACATGTAAAAATATAACATGCCAACTAATAAATTCTCAGTTTTATAAACCACTAAATCGATTACACTTAAGAGATCGAAATAGTAAATCATTATAAAAAAAAAAAATTCAAAAACTTGTCTAAAAATTTAAAATATAAGGATTATTAGTATATTTTCAATAAATAAATAATATTATTACTTTAAATAAAAATAGCATGGAAAATAATTTTTAACTACTAATATATTATATTGTAAACATGTTTTACATTTCTCTACATATTTTATAGTATTTTTATATATTTATTGATTTTTAATAAATTTTAATTATTAGTATATTGTAAATATATATTTTTATACATATTTTTTAGCATTATATATATTGATTTAAAAAAAATAATGAGGGGGCCCACGGGCCCCCCTGGGCCCTATGTGGCTCCGTCATTGAGAGATGAGTCGAACCGTGCAGCAGTTTGATGCATTTCGGTGCGATTTTTTCATTGTGAAAAATTATTAGTTTGATTTCGATTTGGTTTTTTCATGCACTACAATGCGATATATATCGGTATTTATTTTTCATATGTTCGGTTTTTATTTTAATTTTTATTTTTTCGATTCAGTGCGGTGCGGTTCAGTTACTTATTTAGTGGGTTCCTTTTTGTTTTTTGGGTTCAGTGTGGTTTTGCATGAAATCAAAATTTCGTTAACCCTCGAATATACATATTTTTAAACTAAAATATTTTAACCCTAACATGCTCATATTTAATGTTTTGACTAAAAACAACGCTGATTAAAAGAGATGCAAAATAGGTTATATAAATTTTTTTTTTTCAAACGGCATAAACATACTCATAAAAAAAACTAAAAAGGCAATGTACACAGTCGAGCCCAAATCGGAAAATGAGAGGTTACACACACAACTAATGCAACCTAGACGAAATACTAACTACCAAAGCTAAAATGACCAACACACTACGACACCAACACCAAACTAGAACCACAACAAAGAAATACAAAAATAAAAAGACCCCAACAGGGTAATACATGAGTGTAAACTCTCAACATGAGAATAAAGGCTACACTCAGGTCAGACCGGGGCCAACGGCCCAAATCAAAAACACATATATCACACCAAAACAAACACAACGATCAAACAACAAAGAAAACAGAAACATAAACAAAAATAAACAAAAACAGAGCCCTTCCCCTGCGAACCGAACTAAGTTCCACCAACAGTGAACGACCGACACAAAAAAAACCTCGAGCCCAAGAACTGCTATGGAAACTGCACGAACGCCTATACAGCAGGTGAACTCAACCTCCGAGACAATCTCGAATCGACCCATCTCTAACCGAGAGAGCCCCAACCTGCCCCCACGCCAGCCCCACCGAACTCGTCTAACACCACTAGCCAAGCTCAATATAGGCCCAATCCCCCATCACTGAACACCACTAGCCGACCAAGGAACTGGAAAGTAACGAGTTGCTCGGTCCCCCACTCTGACTTCTCCATCGCAGACGGCGAGGCTTTCAGAGCCTCGCCCCACCCTCGAAGAACCGCACACCCTCCCACACCACCGACGGTCATCGGCGACCAAATCCAAACCCCCACTTAAGGCCCTTCCATAAAGAAAAGCCGATAAAAGAAGACTCAGAAAAGATCGTGGAACATACCTACAACAATAGAAGACCTAACGGCATACGGGACGCCAATCGTCGACCAAGTGAAGATCGGGCTCACCACCGCTAGTCCCGCCGGCAGCCGAGGTCTGACCACCAAACACCGACAGCCACAGTGACATCGTAAGGCGAACAAATTCGAGGGTGGGCCGAGCGGTCAGGGCGACCGCTGGCCGGAGGTCGCCATTCGCCGACGAAGGCTAGGATATGAAGATTAAAGGCGACGACTGTGATTTGGGGATAAGGGTTTTCTTTTTTCGCTCCTAAAAAAATACCCTTAACGTTGATTAAAAGAAGTGAAAATTATATGATAACTCTATTGCTTTATATACCTAAACGGACAAAGCTTGTGAAATTAACTCATTTAATATTTCTGTCACGTGCATCGTACGAGGTACGTACTAGTATTTTTAAACTAAAATGTTTTACTTATTTAATTAAAAGATAATATAAATAAAGGTATGACGTTTTATAATATAAATATAGAATTGTGTTAATAAATATACATACTTTTAAATTGAAATATCGTACTCTAAAACATACATAAATAAAATTTTCATTTTTTCTTTAGAAAGAAAAAAAGTATAATGAGTCAACACATTTAATGATTAATCGGTCTGAAAGAATTAGGTACATCTTTTGGAGCTCAATGGCATTTATCATGAATTTTTAATTTTTTGCAAAAATTGGATGGAAGAAAAGAAGTTCGGTTTTGCAGAGTTCATAGTTGTTTGAAAAGGATTGTTCTATTTCTATAGAGCCTAGCAAATGTAAATGAAGTTGGTATTTAATATTATATATATATATATATATATATGTGGAAAATGAATATCTAACTAGGCTTATTGTAAGTAATTAGTAGGATTTTGGTTCTATCATGTATATGTCTAGCTGTTTTAGTGTAACATCATATAGGTGACCTATATATTAATTATCCTTGAATGTAGTCACAACCTCACATGCTTCGGGATCTTATGTTCCAAAACTACATGCTTGGGTAGATTTTAATTTACTTTCAATTCAAAAATAATTAGGTCTGAAATATCCATAAATATATTGATTATTTATGGTCATGTTACATGTATTAATTGAGTTTTGATATCATTTCTTATTATCACCATTGAATTGAAAATGTATTTTAAAAGTTAATAACTTTTTTATTTTTATTAATTTTACACATAGAATATATCAAATTAATCATTTTTTCATGAAATTCGATTAACATTCATATTGTGTGTATAAAAAAAATAAATTATGTTTATCCTTATAATAATAATAAAATAACACATGTAAGTCGCACAATTAACAAGTGTTTGTGGAAAAAAGTTAATAAATTTAAAATAATATTTTTCTTTAATTTTAAAATTCAATAATAACTTTTTAACAAGTACCCTCGTAATACACGGGAGAG